CAGGTTTTACGCGCGCTTTAATGGAGCGATGTCCAATGATCAATCGAGATTCAGTTTGAGACATTGGGGTCTAACGAGCTGTTAAAACGAGCTACGGGGCTGATTGCTTATACTTATGGAGAGTTCGGCTGCCAATCCTTTCGCGAGCGGTCGATTGTATTCAACCTTCCAAGCTACTCAATCATCTCGAAACGGTCACACTTCTGATCAGGGTATCTCAGTCGAGCTACGAGTTTCCACGAGAATGAGGCCTCGTCCCACCCAGCACAGATCCGGACTTAGTCCTTCCCGGGGATACAATGGGAAGAGAGCTGGACCGAAATGATATGCCATCTCTTGACGTTCCCATTGGTCGCATCATAGGATCTACTTCGCTTGCTTTTCGCCCTGATGTTGAGATCCCAGAACTGTGCGAGATCGACTCGGAGACTGATGAGGGACCTGAAACCCCGCCTGATGCTATAACCAGTTACGCAGGGTGGAATAGAACCATCAAGTCTGATAATCCTCCACCTCTTCAGCGAGCTACACTCATTGGAGGCGCTGTCGCGCACAATCTTTGTCTTGTCATTCCAGACGATGGCATTAATGGCTTCGCCGGCCTTCCCGTACAGCCTATTCGAGCAGCACGGGACAGCCGGCTCAATTGGTTGCCAAGATCTTGGACGATGAGACCGAAACGCCCCCAATGCCTTTCCTCATCCTTCCCGATGAACGTCGAGGCGGCCCCGACACCAAGAGTACCAGATCCGCTACGATGGATCTACCCGGGACTTGGAGCTCAACGTTTTACAATCGTGACAAATCAAACTCTGAGCCTATTGCTTTGGCCCTTACTGCTCTCAAGGCAGGAGGGGCGCGCGAGGAGAAGGAGGACGATGAAAGCGAGAAGGAAAAGCTTGGGAGCTTTAAAATGGAAGAGTTCGTCTTATCTGAAGACATCGATGACTTTGGGGGAATCAAGGGCCTGACTGCCAAGTTATAAAAGGATAAGGGTAAGTCTTCCTGATCGCGGACGCCTCCGTAAAATGCGTTCGTGTTGATGATACATTCGACATGAAGCTGACTCTTCATTAGGACCTGAGAAGGATGTCGTTGATACACCCGAGGAACCGAAATATTAAGAGGGTAGGACCGAACAGCCGGGCGGAAAGATGGCGCCTTTATCTGACGAACCGGACACTAAACCCGAGGATGACAAAGATGACAAGGAAGATGAAGAAGAGGAGGATGAGGNNCCTCTGGGGAAATTGTTCCTCTCCATTAACGACTTCAACCTCAAGAACCTTGCAGTGGAGAACTTCGAACTCACCTACTCCGAAGAGAAGAAGAAATTTCTCTTCAAGCCTGGTTTGCGACTCGAAGTGGACGTGCTGTTTAAGGACAGCCTTGCATGGGTTGGTGATGCCTTGAAGAAGTTCTTTGGTCCTAACGACCCTCCCAAGTCCCTTCATTTAAGTGTCTATTTGGCAGGCAATCGCGATTGGTCGAAAGGGCCTAAGATTGACAACTTGGTGCTTCAAGGATACTTTCCACCACTTGCTTTCAAGGCTTGGGATCTTCAGAACTTTAGGACGCTGGGTATTGAGATTACAGCTACCAAAGCGGCTAAGAATAAGCCATCGGAAGACAAGCTAGAAGGCGATAAGCCCGAGGATGAAAAGAAGGGTGAGACTGATGGCGATTACGACACTGGCAGCAGAGATGCCGAGACGGTTAAGCTTAGCAAATAACATGCAAATGAAGAGAGCCGGGACGATGATGGCGATGATAACGAGGAAGATGAGGTTGAAGAAGAGGGTTCCGACGACAAACCGAAAGAACAAAAGTCTTGGTTCTTTGGCTTTGCGTTTTTCGGAACCGTGCTTATCACCAAAGTTTCCCATGCAAATGTACCGCTGGCCGTCAACTGTAGAATTGGGAGGGATATTGTTGCCACGGAAGAGGAAAAGGAAAAAGAGGGCGATAGTGGCGATGAAGGTGGAGAAGGGGATGTAAAAGAAGAGGCAATCAAGACGATGGATGAAAGCCTAAGGGTGATGACAAGAAGGGCAAAGAAACCGACAAGAACGTCAGACCCTGCCAGTCTCACCCTGCGTGATCGTCAGATCGCGTTCCAACCCTTCAGGTGGATGACTTGCAGCCTCCCGCTCAAACGCTAGTCCCTCTGGCAAGGCGCTGAGTTCCTCGTCTTCTTCTCGGGTTGACACATCCAGATTGATGCTGGATCCCTGTGGGACCTCGGCCTCGGTGAGGCGCTGGATAAGCTCTTCCTCACTGAGTTCTCTCAGGTCATCCCTAAGGTGTTGGATATCCCCAGAGAACGTCTCCTTCTCGTTAAAGATCACATCTCTGGTGGAGATGACCTTGTTGGTCAACGGATTCCAAGCCCTGTAGATATTTGTCGAGTTGTAACCGACCAGGTATCCTATCCACCCTCGGGGATTGAGTCGTTGTCGCTGATTCTTCTTTTTCAAAGCATCGGTCGTCATCGCGAAGGCTTTACAGCCATACACGCGTAGGTGTGTTTGATCGGGCTTACGCTCCGTGACAACCACGCCGTCCCTAAAGGCAAAGTAAGTGTAGAAACGCTCATATGCCGTCTTCCAATTGTAGATATACTTGGGTGTCCTATTGTATAGGTATACGGCAGCACGCCAGATCTCAACCCAAAGGAACGAAGGCAGCTTTGCTCCGATTCTCATCGCGCGAGCTTTCTCCTTGATCATACCCCCCGAGCGCTCTGCGCCGCCGTTTTGACTTTGGGCATATGGCGCGGAGGGCTCTAGGCGCATCCCGTTTTTGATACTGAGGAAGTTACTTACCTGGTGACTATCCGGGATCTTGTTATCACACTCGATGACTTCAGGCCCACACTGGAGTTGCTGCTCCAGTGTTCTGAGTAGATGCTCAAGTGCACCGATAAGCGTTGGTGCAGTTCGATCGGGAAGATAATAGTCCCAGATATAGCCAGAGTAACGGTCAGTGACCAGCATAGCTGAAGTATAGCCTGGATCCCCACTCATGTCGTGGAAATCAATAGCGAGTCGGATTCCAGCCGTCTCGGGTGGAACTCGTCTTTGTCAACGGACTTGGCGCTTCACCTTCGCCATTCCACAAGCATCACACTCAACCGTGGAGATCCCTCTGATCTTCACCCCCCGAGATTGGCCCACGAGGTGCTTGAGTGCTTCAGGCCCTGGGTGTCCAAGTCGAAGGTGCCAAAAGGTTTCGTCTCCACTGCGAGGAGGGCGTTTAGTCCACGAATCATACTGTTTCCGTTTGGCTAGGAATGCCGCTGCCGTTGTTGATTTGTCGATGTGCTCCAGTACGTACTGGTCGAAATTATCGGTTAATATGCCGAGGATTGAATCGTCTTTTCTGCAGATATGGTTGTTGTTCCCCTTTGTGTCCCAGTAGTAGCCTCTTTTCCGCAACTGGCGGTATGAGACGATATTGCAGGCAAAGTTTATGCAGTGAGCAACATCACGCAATCTGAGGAT